CTACCTGAAATCACGCTCCACGGAGCAACCTTCTCAAGTGTGTGTGTTTGCATGACATGGCATGGCCTAGTCTTTGCATCCCTCTAGAGCCAAAAACCAAACATCTACACCTTCTTCAGGGTCAACTACCTAGGTTTCCTATACCTTCTACAGGTTCCCAGGGGTCGTAGTCAAACCAACACCCCTACACAATCCCTAGACCATACCAACTCCACCAAATTCCACCACCAATCCCTTCCAGAACCCCTTTTTTCCTACAAACCAAATGGCATGTCAGCTATGTACAAGCCTTCTTCAGGCTCTTCCCTACTGGCTGGTGCAAGCCTTCTTCAGGCTCTCGCTTGCTGCTTTGCTTCACTTGCTGGGCATGATATTGTTCTTGAAACCAACCAAGTCTGCCTTCTCCAGGCTTTGTCCTTCTTTTGCTTTTTGCCAGAGGGCATCCATGACCTCATCCCTGGTAGCAGATTTGCACATTTCAACATTCACCAGGCACATGGGTTTCTAGCCTTCTTCAGGCTTGTATTGAATGTAGGCCTTTTTGTTGGCCCTGGTTTGCTTGACCAATCCAAAGCTGGCAGATGGTTGCCATCCACTCTGGTGGCCTGCTTGGCAGCCTTCTGCAGGCTTTGCCCTGGGAGCCTTGCTCTGCTTTGCAGGCTTTTTCTGGCTTGCAGCAGGCTTTCTCATGGATGGCTTCTTGTATACAGAGCCTTCTGCAGGCTTCTGCAAGCTCTTCTGGTGCCACCAATGATTCTTGGGTGCATTGGACTGTGCTTGCAATTTCCACCACTTCGGTTTCATCTCTTGATTCCCCTTCCTCCTCCACAGGCTGGGCAAGAACCAGAGCTGGTCTCTTGAGGGTTTTCGCCTTGTCAGCCTCAGGTGCCTGGCTGCCTTCTGCAGGCTTGCTGCCTTCTGCAGGCTTGGTACCCTCTGCCTTCTCTTCCCAGCTAAGAGCTCTCATCAGCCTTTGCAAAACTGGGTCAGTCTTTTCACCAGTCTTCATGTTTCGCCTTTTCCTCCCAAGGAAGGATCTGATATCAAAAATTGCATTTGCAATTGTTTTTCTTTCAGCCTCAGAGGCTCTGGGCTGTGCTTCTTTGATGGCCTGCCTTGTCATGGGCTTTGACAAGGCAGGCCTTTGAAACCACACTTCAAGGAAGTGGGCTTGCCTTCTGCAGGCTTCTTCATGGTCTGCAGGCCATGCCCCTGCATCCAGAGCAAGAGGGAAGCCTTTCAAAATTGCAGCAGCTTGCTTCACATTGCCTTCTTCAGGCTTACAAGGCAGAGTGCCAGACATGCTGGTGGTTGGGTGAAACAAACAAAACTCAAAAATACACCTAAAAGTCTGAGCCAAAATGGTTGAAGCACTCCATACCAATTGGTGGGTAGAGCCCTGGAAGCTCCAAAACAAAGCTTCCAATGCAAACCCTGGAAGCTTCAAAACAAAGCTTCCCAGAAGTGCTTCTTGGATGGGTTATGTTGAAAAATCCAAGAAGTGCTTCTTGAAGCCAGAAGCTCTGAAACAGCACTGGCAGCTCAGTTTGGGAAGCTCTGTTTTGGAGCTGCCAGCTCTGAAACAGAGCTGCCAGCTTTGTTTTGAGACTTCCAGGATGAGCTTCTAGACCCTCAGAAGCCTGAAACAAAGCTGCCAGCTCTGTTTCAGCTCTTCTCGGATCTTAAGGGTATATTGATGAGACTCTACGTTCTCGAAAACATCGCTTTCAAAGTGGCAGTGACTAGCCCATTGAATCGACCTCTTGGTATGCTCGAAGAACGAGATGACCGTCTCCCTCCAAACCAGAGGTACGAAGAGCTACTTCGCAACCTGGCCGACGTTCGCCACAAAAGGGCAGTCGCCGCAGCCGAGCTCGTCGCTCGCGCCCTTACCAAGAAGGACGTTGCTGCAGAACAACCGAACAGGGCTGCACCGATTACCGAGGCGGACATGGCCGTCATCGACGACGAGCCCGAAGGCGATCAAGATGATCCAGACCTTTCGGAGATTTTCGTTGCAAATGACGCCACGCCGCGACACCTATGAGGGTCGGCTCCAGACACTTGAGGAACTCAGCCATCGTGTTGAAACCGGCGAGAATCCGGCGGCATGGCTTGATGTCGACGCCGACGATGATGAGGAGGTGTGGCCAAATGATGAGCGAGCACATGAAGAACCTGAAGATGAAGAAGCTCCTCATGGCGAAGAAGGCTCGGCCGCCGTCACTGGTGAGCCCGAGCCTGAAGCACCCTCATCTCCACCGGCTGCCGAAGAGGGCCATTTTGTGCGTGTCCAATATCTTGAGGACCAATATCCCGAGTATGAGTACCGCATGGCCGAGATCGATGGCGCCTTCCAGCAAGTGGTTCAGCTTGGCAACAAGCAAATTCCGCTCCACTTTGCGAGCGGCTGGGAGCTCAATGGCGGGCACCTTTTCTTCGCGAAACCTCTCAAGGATTGGCTCACCCAGCTATCAAAGGTCGTCCGCCAACACGACCAATTTCTGGGACTTGAGGTCGACGAAGATGGCTACGCAGACTTGGATGAAGTAGCAAGGTGTTTTGGCCTGAATCACCGCAGTGCCCCGCCGCTCACAGTGAAAGACTTGATTGCCATAGCAGCGAAAGACAATAAAAATAGATTCGAGTTTTTGGGCATTCGAGAAGGGCACAAGCTCGAAGAGAAGGGCGTGGCACTATGGCCTCTGAAGATGCGTGCCGCTGCTGGACAAAGCAAGCACGCGATCAAGAGCGCACAGGACAACTACAGATCAGCGGCTCTGATGTACTGTAGTCCTTCGCTCCGGCCAGAAGCCAAAGCTCCCTTCACCGGGAAGCCCATCGCCAACATGGACGAGATCCCTGCGCTCGCTTTCCATCGCACCAGGCCTGCATGCTGGAAGCGGATTGTCAAGGAGGGCCTCATCCCAGGCGGTGGGGAATTTGTTGGCAGTGATCGTGCACATGTCTATTTGGCTGCAAGCCGCATCACGGACACCGACTATCAAAGCGGTCTCCGCGGCAAGCATCCCATTCAGATCACGATCGCATTGAAGGAAGCAGTGGACAGCGGCTTGATCTTTTTCAAAAACCGCAGCGGCGGCATCATGACAATAGATGTTGTTCCTCCCGAGTTCATCATCTCTGTCGAGAACACTGAGAGCAAGTCCACTTTGTGGACGAGGGTCAGTGCCTCAGGTCTTGCCGAAGAAGCCCCTGCAGTGTCTGGAGAAGGAAGCCGGGCCGCCGTCGCTGGCGAGCCCCAGCCAGCCGCAAAGGCAATGCCTGTATCGCTCACGGCAACCAGCAAGTCGGCACCAGCAAGCAAGGCTGCGCCATCTACCCCGCCGACGAGTGCAAGTCACTGTCGTGCCCTGCACCAGCCCTCGTGCACTTTCCGCGTCCAGCTTCGGTAGCAAAGCTGCCTTAGCTGAGGGGGTGTATTTTCACTCCATGTAATATGTACACTTTTACCATGCACATATGTATAGGATGTCATTGCACTTACTTCTGCAGCTCGCGGTCCAAAAGGGTATCGTAGCTTAACGGCTGCTTCTATAAAAGGCAAGAAAGGTTCAAAGGAAGAATTAAAGAAAGAACAATTGTAGTTTTGATGGGGACTTTGTCATTTGGCCACCAAAGGTGGCTGACCGATTGGCGTGCAAACATAGACGGCGTGTACAGCAGGGAAGGTCAAGATGGGAATCAATAAGCGGATGCCTAAAGCGATCAACGGAAAGCCTGATCGAGAAAAGCAGAAAGTTGGTCTTAGAAAGGGGTGATTAAGATTAACAGCTCTAGGCTTATGTCGGGCGCGCCAGCCGTAGATACAAGGAACCAAAATAAATGTATAAAGCACAAAAAGCAACCGGTAAAGCAAAAAAAACAAAAAATGTAGCTGTGCGTGTTTGTCGTTTTTTTCACTGTGTTTTCACATTTTTTAACTTTTTCCCTAGGAGCGTACAGCAAATATTGCTGTCGGGTAAAAGTTCTCACAAGTGCAGAAGTGGTACCAGGGAAAAAAAGAAAAAACAAAACACATGCAACAACAAAGCAAATTGCGCTGTTTTTGCATTTTCATTTGCTTTTGTTTTTTCGCATTTTTTCGCAAAAAGAACGTTGTTTGATGATTGGTCATGTATGGCTGCCATTGCCCAACATAACTCTGGGCTCTAGCTGCTAGCTAAAAGAACGTCTATATATAAACAATTTCCCGCAACCGGTCATGTAGAAAACTATTCGGTTCCTCTATTTTGTGCCTTGTTTTTGCTACATGTGTTCAAGAAACCTAGATTTCCTACTTGTTAACTTCTTCAGATATCTAGGAACCCTTCCATCAGATGAAGCATTGCGAAGGGTTCGTCAAAGAAGTTCTTGAAGGGCCTGAGCCCTGCCGTTAGAAGAGTCGCTTGCTTTTCACGCTCACGCTCCGCACTTTAGAAGGAAGAAAGGAAATAATGATTTAAAATAGTATTATGAATAGTAATAGTACCAACATAAAGGTAATGAATAAGTGTATATATAATATATAATAGATATAGGTTAAAACAAATGAGAGAGAGAGAGAGTCTTAGGGACATAGATTAAAGTTCTTTTGTTTCTGATTTTTCAGGAGTTTGTCATAGACTTTTTCGATGTGTGTCCCAATCCTTTGGACTCAGCTTCTCAGGTGGGGATAGTGCCGAGTCATCGCTGGGATCTAAAAGAAAGCGTGAGAGAACTTCTTTGACAATTTGAATGAGAGGATTTTTGATTTTTAAGTACAATCCTTTTCTTTTAGGCTCGCGTTTTCTTCGTTCTCTTTTTCCTTCAGGTTTGCTTGTCACCCTTCTCTTTGACTGCACTTTTCGGATATTGACCGACTTGCCAAGGGTGTGCAGCACTGGAGCCGTTTGGTGCACAGTTGTTTGTTATAAACGAAAGGGCCCTTTAAAGGGGCCAGTCCTCAGACTTTAACTTTAAGTCCTTTGGTCCTTTTATTCACTTCTAAGTCCTTTAGTTCTTCTCTTCTTCTTAAGACTTTAAGTCCTAAGACGAACACATGTACGAGCGAGGGCCGCGACTCGCTGAGGAGCCGGGATTTGGTGTGCCACCGCCAAAGACTTTTGAGCCTCCGTGCGCCGGGAGTCGTACCGCGCGCCCTGTGTCTCCGATGTTCGATGTTTGTCTCTTTCATGAGTTCTGTAGGTGTGTTCGATGGCCTCCAACCTAGCAGCGATGGCTTCCAACTTAGTAGGGATGGCCTCCAACTAAGAAGCCATGGCCTCCAACCTAGTAGAGATGGCCTCCAACTTAGAAGCCATGGCCTCCAACCTACTAGCGATGGCCTCCAACTTAGTAGGGATGGCCTCCAACCTACTAGCGATGGCCTCCAACCTAGTAGGGATGGCCTCCAACTTAGAAGCCATGGCCTCCAACCTACTAGCGATGGCCTCCAACTTAGTAGGGGGCCTCCAACCTACTAGCGACGGCCTCCAACCTAGCAGCGATGGCCTCCAACTTAGTAGGGATGGCCTCCAACTAAGAAGCTATGGCCTCCAACCTAGTAGGGATGGCCTCCAACTTAGAAGCCATGGCCTCCAACCTAGTAGGGATGGCCTCCAACTTAGAAGCCATGGCCTCCAACCTACTAGCGATGGCCTCCAACTTAGTAGGTTGGAGGTGCTAGCGATGGCCTCCAACCTAGCAGCGATGGCCTCCAACTTAGTAGGGATGGCCTCCAACTAAGAAGCCATGGCCTCCAACCTAGTAGGGATGGCCTCCAACTTAGAAGCCATGGCCTCCAACCTACTAGCGATGGCCTCCAACTTAGTAGGAAGCCTCCAACCTACTAGCGATGGCTTTTCCTTGCATAAAGGCCCCTCCCTGGCACAGGTGGCGGGAGAGGGGCTGAGTGTCAGAGTCTGAAGACGGCTACAGTGAAAAGACGGCAGAGGGAGAAGGTGACAAGGAGGTCCAAGATGACGACAATCAAGAAGGATCCAAAGAGGCACGAAACGAACGAGCTTTCCGAGTACCCTCCTTCAGGGATTTCTGGAGTTTATGCCAAGCACCAACAGGTGGTTTCCAATGAAATGGGCAAGCCTCAGGCTGTGATGACAAATCAACAGGGGGCCACCAGTTGTAGGCACAAGTTCGAAAATTCTTTTGAAATGCCATTTGAATTACTTTCGCAACCTGATCCTGCTTCGGGAAGGCAGGTCGTGGTTTCAGGCCAAAGACACAGCTTCCTGCACCCTGTCGGTACAGAGCACAGATCCGAGCACGCTTGGCATGGGCTGGCAGGACATCATGTCCACACAAGGAAGCAAATTGACTAAACATGGAAGCGAACTGGGTAGCAATCTCATTCCAAGAATAGTAAAAAGCATGTGCCTCCGTGTCAGACCTGGCCCAAGCGAAACAATGCCCATCAGGAGAAGTCCTCCTGTGGACAGGCAGATAGCAGTGGCTATACATCATGAAACTTAGTACCAATTCCATCCAGGAAACACCCATTTCAGCAGACTCTGGGTGATGACCTGCATTGGGCCATTGGAGCTGGCCCGCCCAATCAAGCAAACAAAGCATCAATGATGTTCCCCAGTAAGAGTGATCAAAGAAATTTTGGGCTCGAATGGCGGTGACATCAAGGGTCCAAGGCGCGTCAACAGACCAATTCGAGCACAGAGCAGAGAAATGGACCGCCTGCCTCATCGGGTGAGGTTCCATGGGATTGAAAGAAGCTGGAACATGTTGTTCATGAAGTTTACGATAACTCTGCAGGGCCAAAGAAAGACGGTAGAATTGCTCGAGTTCTTCCATTTCAAGCTTACGAGTCATGACCTGCTGTCGCCAGGCATCTGTGAGGGGTGGACGGCAGGAATTACAAACCTCGGATGCGGCCTGGTCAGCAACCATGTTACCCAGGGCATGATAACAGAGAAGGTCAGGCAACTCACTTGGCTGAGTATGGGCCTTAATCTTAACCAGCCTATTAGTATGAGCATGAACAATCTGCTGTATGCGGAGACACAGTTCTGGGTGCGGGTGTCTGTGCAAATGCACCCCATGCACTGATGGAGCAGCTAGAAATGTGGCAATAGCACTAGAGGAGTCCACATGAATGACTGCATGGCGAAAGAGTTCATTAGCACGGATAACAGCCCGGAGTTCTGCATGGTGAATGGTTTGGGCCTGCGGGCAAAGCTCCTGAATGATCACATGTAATGTGCTAGGAAGAACACCTGTCTCTTTGAAACGTTGTGCCTGCCAACAGCGTTCTGCATCACAACGACAAGAGTCGACCGCAATGCTAAAACCAGCATATCTTAACGAAGGTAGAGTGGGATGGAGACAACTACCGTCAGTGTACACATGCAGCGGAGAAAGATCAGAGACACACTCCTGCAGGGCCACAATCTGTGAGGAATCAGGTGGTCGTGGCTGGATAGCATATTGGAATGTGAAACGAAATTCGTCCTCAGCTGATTCGAAGATGACTGGCAGTTCAGGCAACAAGGTGTCCTCCAAGGTGAGGGTCTGGACCAACTTCTGGAAAGGCTCGCGAATGTGCTGTGTGGCAGCACAAGCAAAGAACCTATGAAATTTGGTATCCTCGACCACACCATGGACAGTCAGGTGTCACTTGATCATCCCAAATGGCCTGTTGGCTCCTCGTCTGATAGGCCCCAGCAATTTCACGCACTAAAATACGACGTTCAGTAACAGTGAAGCGTGAAAGGACCTGACGAGTAAGATGTTGGTCGACATTGGGAAAATTGATCAAAGACCGTCGATGGGAATGCAACACCAAGAGCCGGTCTTGCCATGACCGTTCCGCGAACCAGACCAAACTCTTCCAGGGGCACATCAAAAAGCTTAGCTTGACAAAGGCTGAGACTTGAATGTATCCTTGGTCATCTATACACCAGCCTATCCTGACCAAGTAAGTCGTAAGTGTGGAGGCAGGACCCTTAGAAGTGTTAGGCCTTGGCATATATTGCGAAACCAACCTAAAGAATCTGTACTTCTGCGAACTGTCTCGAGCCAGCAGAAACCTCCTGGCAGCTGCACAAGCCGAAAGAATCATGTGAAGCTCGGGGTCTTTCACATACTTGGAGGCACACAAAGTGACCAAGGCCGAAGCCATGCTTTCAGAAGGACCTACAAGAGCTTCTGCCACATGATAACGGACGGACCGAGTATGCTGCTGACCAACTGGAAAGAGCTCACTCCCATGAAAGGCAACTGGATACACACTGGCCGAAATAACCTGGGCTTTGACATCAATATCAACATGTGAAGTCTTAAGGCGGGCTAATCTCTCCTTAGCCTTGCGCAATCTATCATGAAGCTTACACATGCGAGCGGCACCTTGATATCTGAGTGGGCGTCCAAGATCACTAGCTGCGTGGACTTTAGCCGCAACAGGGAGTTGGAGGCGATCAAAAGCTTTACGAACTGTGCTGGCAAGGTGGGAATGTGACGTCCACCACCAAGTCTTAGTCCAGTCAATTTGAAGGCCAATAATTTTTGTCCAACGCAGAGTGACATCCAAGAGAGGCTCAATGTCCAGAACATCTTTAACTGCCCAAGCCCAGTTATCGGCATATGCAGAGATTAACGAGTTGGCTGAAGTGCAAGTCCGGCAAGCAGCTGTCCAACATGACCAGGACAGAAAAGACATCCCCTTCAGGAAAACCGCAGCTACTATGTATGACATCCGAGCATTGACCGAGGACTTCCCAGCGTCTCGAGAGACGCGCGAGAGATCCTGACCACTGGGCCAGCACGGAATCAGGCACCCCCAGATGACGAAGGATGGCAGTACCACGAGACCGATTTATTGCGTTAAAGCATTTAACAAGATCTAGAGTAATGCCCGCGCAAGGTTCCCCTGCATCATGAGCTTCCTCGAAGAAACATTGAGTGGCGTATGCAGCCTCGAATGCTCCTCGGCCCGGAAGTAGACCAGTGATGTCACGTGTCATGAATTGACCAAAAGAGGTCAAGAGTTGTCGACAAACCACCTGGGCCCAAACTCGATAAATCTGAGACAGGACAGTAATAGGTCGAATCTTTTCCGGCGCAGGTGTACCTGTTGCTTCAGGTCCTTTAGGTGCTGCGAAGACTTTAGCTTCCATGAACCACGAAGGGAAGCCGTCAGGGTAGCAATGTACCACCTCAATCAACAAGGAAATTAAATGATCAGGCAAGGACTGCACCTCAAAGGCAGTGATGCCATCCGGCCCCGGGGCTGGATTACATCTCAGACCACGGATCACCTGTTTCCAGGTCAACAAGTTTGCAGTATCAACACAGAGATCCTGTTGGGGCAACAGGTCCAGAAACTGCTGGAAAGCCGTATCAAAAGCAGGAGAAAGGAGTTGAGAATCATCCCTCTGCCAAATAGGTTCCCCAAAGCAAGTTAAGTGATGGCAAATTTGCTGAGGGTTGGTAACTAGAATGTTCTGCCGCACCTGAATATTCTCGAGATCAGTCAACTCAGTGGCACATGACACGATGATGGAGTGCTCACGAACATCATGCAACCAACCTGTCGCATTATTCAAGCACAGGTTACGACCTTTCTGGAAAGCTGACGGATCCTCAACAAAGGCTTCAAACCGAGGAAGGCTTTTGGCAGTGACCCTGGTGCCAATGGGGACCAAAATTGCTGTTTGCTCAATTTCTTTTTCCACAGATTCAAGCTTGGGAGTCGATCCACGCACAGAGGCGAATGTGAGTCGATTATGACCCTGCTTCTTATCAATCTGGAGACGAAACTTCTGCTTATCTTGAAAGATTTGGCCGTCCAACTGAATTGCACTGGTAACTGCGTGACGCCACAGCTGTTCAAGATCGTTCAACCATGTCATGCTTGGCAAGTTCCAAGGAGCAGGGCCTAACTCCGGTTGGGATTGAATCCAAGCAACAAACGATTGGCCTTGGTATTTGAACCGAAGGATCTTGCGCCATTCCGGAAGAATGATATCATGCAAAGCCTCCTTGCTCAGCTTGCGTTTCAAGGACTGCACACGCCTCAATTGCTTGATCATGCCAGCAGTGACCGCCCGATGGATCTCTTGAGGGGGTTCAAAATCCCCACAGCGAGCTTTCGGAACAAGGGAGGT